GAGAGTAGAAAAGCGCTATATAAGAATCAGTCCATCAGTCCATTTACCAAAAGGCAGATTCAACATGAAACTATTTAAAAGCTGCAAACTCAGACGCTCTCTGCTCATCATCCTCGGCCTGGCTTTACGATCCTGAACAAAGAGCCCGAACAGCTGGTAGCGCAGTGCAAGTTAGCATCACCCAGCATGGCGTGCAGTGGGATCTATTTCTGAATGTGCAGTTAGTGTGTCCCAAACACTTTGTTGTGTGCGATATGAACTGTTGTCTCATCAGTTTGATATAATCAGAGTATGAAGTGGGTGCTCCACAGCGCCCCTGGTGGCTGAAAATATAAAACAGCGCTGTGTGATCCCTCAGAGCACATGTGACACAAACACAGAAATAATGAAGTCAGAAATCCATGATGTCACAGGCTGCTGATCGATTACTGATGGATCCCATTGATCTGCTGTGATTTCTCTTATTTAGACTGAAACATGCTTAAATGTAAAATCGCAGAATTATGATCTGAATCTAATAAAACATGAAATCATATTTATACTGCTGGTCTCAGCAGACACCATCAGATGTGCCGCCAGGACTAAGCCGCGAGCTGAGGGCTAAACGCCATCGAGGCGCATCCCGCGTTCCTCCGACTCTTCAGCGTGACGGGGTAGGAAAAAAGCGTGGATGAAAGCTACGCTTCAGAGACGCCTGACGGCTCCGTCGCACCGAACACGGTGCGTTTAACGAGTCATCGTTAACATGCCGCGGGCCCGCATGTGCGTTCGGGTTAGGGCGCCGGCACTCTGACAGGCAGCAGCAGGAAGAGGAGGCTTTTACTTTGGCGTGATTCATCTTCACAGAAACATTCTGACAAAACGCCGCCGAGACTCCCGCCTTAAAACGGCGCTCTGACTTTCTAATGAGGCTCTCCTCTAACCCCACAACACACACACACAGTCACAGAGCAGTAATAAGGAGCTTTAATAAAACTCTTCCTCGTTTCACGATGGAGTCATTAAAATAAAAAACATGACAAACTGCAGCTTTGATCTGCAGCGAGAGACAGACGAGTGAGGGAGGGGGGTAAGGAGAGGGGGAGGGGGGGAGGGACAGGTGTCCTCCCGTGGTGATGATCAGTTTTCAAGCTTCACATTATTCACATCACTTAAATATATTCAGAGATTATCAGTCAATAAGAGAGCAGCACTCACGTTTGACTGTGAGGTCAGCGTAGGAGGACACGCCCACCCCTCGCTCTGATTGGGCGATGCAGCGGTAGCGTCCAGAGTCTCCTTTGGTCGTGTTGTCCACATTGAAGCTCGCCACGTAACGCCGAGCGTTCAGCGGTTTGGTTTCCCGTACCGCGGCCTGCCGACCGCCCATTCCCTGCCGAGCACAAACACACAAAGTGAAGCAGCCACATACACACACGCCGCGCAGCGTGCAGTCTCGCCGCGTGGCGCTCGTGTTACTGACTATGGATTATTGATAGATCACCTGCAGGTACAGCAGTAGGTTGCTCTGCGGACGTCCGTTGATGGTGCAGTGAAACGTGGCTGTCTGTCCTGCGTTCACCTCCACACCTTTGATATGGAGGAAGTGAGGGGTGCTCACTGAGGACAGGAACACGTAAAACACTGAGGTCAGAGGTCACACACTGCTGACATCACCTGACTGACCATGCTACGGTAACAGTGAGTCTTCTCTCCTCTGATTTCTTCAGCCGAAAAACAAAAATCTCTACGATCCAATTAGAAAATGGATTCTGGAGGATATAGGTGTGTGTGTGTGTGTGTGTGTGTGTGTGTGTGTGTG